GCTGGCCCTTCAGTTGCACCCTCTGCAGAATCTTTGACATCTGCAAACCAAGCAGGTTTGGGGTGGATTCAGTCCCATTCTGCTGGAGACGGCCATTTAAGGGGCCAGGGCTTCCAGGAGTATCTCTCTGTTTCCGTTTCTGATGAGGAGGGACATGAAAGAGAAGAGCATTTGGGCACCAAGCAACTCCCCCGCCAAGACTGGCTTTTCAGACAAACCCATCAGCGGTTTCAAAACCTGAATCTCAGCACATCCACTTCCCTCTGATATCAAAGGAAACTTCAAGTCTGAAACGGACTTGGCAAGCATGTTATTAATAACTGTCACGCTTATTAACAAATTTAATCCGGCCTGCTGCAGAAATGAGTTGCAGCAACGTGACACAGGCTCCCGACACACTTCACTGATGTACATCTTAATCTGGCCCTGACTTTCAATACCCGCATTCACGTTAGCTGGGGCACACAAAGCCTCTCTGACAGCAGGGTCAGGAGTGGGGATGGTGATTCCCACCATTGAGAGGCTGGCCAAATGACTACTGATATTGTGGCCAAATGAAAATCCTGCATTCCTGGGCTCGACAAACAACAGGTTTCCCTGAATGAGGAGACACTTGGACAGGTCAAATAATACACTGACATATTTAATGTCCTTGGCATCCCCAGAAATGTCATCACTTTTATTGGAGAAAAATAATTTGTGTTTGGATGGCATCCTTTTTGGGGATGCTCAAGTCCTTACTTCTCATGAATCATGTCATTCTTAGCCCCTGGGTTTAGACTTTCCTGGACTGCTGACTGAAGACCAGAGTCCTTATTTGTTTTGATCCCTCTCTGCATCCCACCCGTCCTTTTCATCTTTTTTTTTCACTTGGTTGCATCCTCTTCTGATTAGTGAGTAAACACTCTGCGAACTTCCAGAACCCACATCCTGATCTGCTTTCACGTATTCATCAATTTGAGTGTGTTTCACATCTTAAAGAAGTCACATATGGTTCTCACTCCTAAAAATGATCTAATTGTGGTGTTCTAGTAATGTGTTTGTTAGACATACTTTTTACTGGGCACAGTCTATCTAACTGCTATACAACGTGAGCCTAGGGCAATGCAAACGCATAGAGTTTTGAAATGTCTCCCCAGAGAAACATGTTAACGAGCTGTAAGGCTATCAGTAGATCTCTCTTTCCTGAGTTATGGCCTTAATTTTAAAACATTCCTCCACTGGCATTTGTCCTGATATGTATTTCCACTATTTCTCCAGAGTTGCAGCACTTGCCTTGTTCTAGGACCGACGTAAGAGAGGAGGCGAACAATGGCTGTGAGAGAAATTAATTGAGTTGCTTCTAGACTCTGTTCTGACTCTAACAACTCATCCCCACCCCGTATCTCCAGGATATCACACTTTGTGGAGCAATTTCCTCCCTCCCTCCCTTACCTAGAATATTGTCTACAGGTAGACAGACAAGAGAGGATGAAAATTGGTAGATGTACTGGCTCATTAAGTTTCAGTTGCACTCTCTTCAGAGTGAGGAAACTAGCTAAAATATCCATTTTAGGTCTCGAGTACACCTCCCCCCACCCTCCCACGAGTTTATTACCCTCCCCTCTCCCCTGCAAATGCCCACTTTTCTGCTCTGCCCCCCATCACTCTCTTTTCTTCCCTTCAGATATTGGCACGGCTTTCTCAAAGCCCCAAAGCATCAGAATTAAGGGTTTTCTGAACATAGGGCAAGGAGAGGAAGGGCATGTTCTGGTTTAGCACTTGCTTCTACCACCCCCTTGTGGGTTCAGCTCGACATCTCCTTGAAAGAATGCATACTTTCTACATTCTCTACCAAATATCCTATCTTTTTTCCTTTTCCTTTCTCTTGGGTTGTGGTGACTCCCACAGACAGACATACAAACCAATGTTTATCAGTAGTATGGATGAACATATTAGTTAGTGCTAGGTAGTAAGCCACAGTTCTTACCTTTTACTGATTCAGAACTCAGTCAGTCAAACGTTTCTCACCTCTCACTCCCAGATCCCCAACACCAACTCTCTCCCTGATCTCGTGAACCATTTAGAAAACTAAAATGAGCTAGAGAGGTGAGGGGAAGGGGGAAGCAGAGATGTAGAGAAAGATGACTCTGCCCCAACCGTGACCTTAAGACTTCCCACACAACCTTCATTCTGACACCAACCTGCACATAACCAGAGCAGTTTCTTCCTTCTTCACTCGGCTACAAACACTCTCTCTGAGGTCAGCAGGGAGCTGATAGCTAGGTCAAAAGACTTCACTTCTTCACAGTTCTTGGTCCTGACATATACTTCACCAATGAGCTATGGTTGCCAATCTCCTTTCCCACTAGCGGTGATGCAAGCAAGGGTGGTCCGCCTCTCTCTTTCTCTTATCCCCAGCACACCAGATCAGTCACTCGTTTTTTTCTTTACCACTCCTAGAAGCCAAAAGAAAGTGCATTTCTATTTCATCGCAATTTGCCTTTCTCTAATATCCAGGGAGAAAACTTTTCCTCGTCCTTTTATATCTTCTCCTGGAGCAACTATGTCTATTTTTACTTCTTTATCTTCTCCTATAATACAGGGCAACAACCCATTTCTTTACTTTTCCTCTCCCCAACTGTTAATATCCATCATCTTACTTGGGCCTGTGAAAAAGCAGATTTCATGAAATAAGCCATAGAGAGATAGATATTTTAATTATTTGTTTTAGTCTCTGCCCATTTTTCTTGGAAATAATGACTTTTGAAAATTATTTGTTTATGCCTTTCCATATATATATATATGTATAAGGAAATTTGAGGGGTGGTGTTTGCTAGAATGTCACCACTGGTTATTTTTTAGAATAAGATTTTAGGCAGAATACATTCTAGCTGCAGTGTCAAACATTAAGGTCACTGGGACATGGAAATGAACAGAACTGTCTCTTGGACAAGACCACCTGGCTTTCCAGACAGGGCCCCATGAGACAGCATTTACCTTGCTGGGCTCACTACACTCCAGGCTCCAAACTCTTATTTTGTTTTCAGACTAAAGATATCCACAACTTATGACATTACTTCCAATAGAAATGCATGCGTATGTTCACCAAAAGACATGCATGAGAATGTTCATAGCAGCACTCTTAATAATACTCAAACTGAAAATAACCTAAATATTCATCAACAGTACAATAGTTAAATATAACAAAATACAACATATTTGTAAATGGGATTTATAGTCATAAATAGTGATTAATATTATTTGTGCAACTGTATGGATTATTCTCACAGACATTAGTAAAAAAAAAAAGACCAAAATAGTATATACGGTGTGATTCTGTTTACCTGAATTTTTTTTTTAAAGCAGGGAAAACTATCTATGTTGTTAGAAGTAAGAATGGTGGTTACTTTTGTGTGATTAATGTTCTGTTTCTTGCTACTTTGTGAGAATGTATTGAGTTGAATGCTTGTATACTTGTCTGTATATATAGTATACAGCAACAAAAGTTTGCCTAAAGATCTCAATAGTAAGTTAGAGAAATGGGAGATGAGTAAATGAAGTCCATTCTTTTGGTTATCTAGGAAAGCTGGACAAAATGTACTTTTAAAAATTTTCCTCAAGTCATTTGAAGGCTAAAAAGATAGCTGGGTCAGAATAAGAGCGGGTGGGGAAAGTGGAGCCTAATGTTAGGGACATCTTTTCCAATAGAACATCTACAGTCATTGAGGACTGGGTGCAGTAGTTCATGTCTGTAATCACAGCACTTTGGGAGACCAAGGCAGGAGGAGTGCTTGAAGTCAAGACTTTGAGGGGACAGTTGAAAGGCTGTGCAGAATTTTGGACAGGCTATGGAGGCTAGAGATGCAGATAGAACACAGATCTTGCCAAGAGGTCTACCTGGTGAACCTCGATATCTTCAGGTTGTGGAGCTGAAAAAGCTGCACCTCAGAGTCAGGGTAAACCAAAGGTAAAGAGACTGTCACAAGTACTTCAGTTCAACTTTGAATATCTCGATCACTGAAAGTTAAATTAAGGTAATTCAAGAGTGCAATGCTCCTAGGTGCCTAGCAGACACATATTGGAAAGCAATAACATCAGCCTCAAATTATTTCTGAAGTTTTACAAAACACAATATCCAGCACACAACCAAGTATATGAGATAACAAGATGAAATTGACACATAGAAATGACAGACAATAGAAAAAGACTCATTGAAGCCTTAGATAGTAAGCTTGTCAAACACAGAGCTAAAATAAATATGATTACTCTGCTTAAGGAGATAAAAGACAATATCGAGAATTTCTGCATATAAACAGAAACAATAAAAACATAAAATGGAAACTCTAGAGTTGAAAATAAAATAATTTAAATTAAGAACTGAATGGATGCATTTAATAGCAGAGAATACATAGATGAAGAGAAAATTATTGAACAGGAAGGTAGGTAAGAAGAAACTATCCAGAATGAATCACAGTCACAAAAGGATAAACAATTAAGAGTGAATAAGGGACAGAAAATACAGAAAAAAAGGTTGACATATGTGTATTTGAAATTTAGGAAGAGGAGAGAATGAATCAGACAGAAGTAATATGTAAAGAAATAGTGGTTGAGAATTTTTTAACTTTTTAAAGCATCAAGCCACAGACTCAAGAAGCCTTTTAAACTAAAAACAAAGACGATATCTTAAAATCAACCATAAAACAAAATTCTAAGATTATCTTCAAAGGAACAATAATAAAACTTTTCTTTTTCCCTGAGAAGCTGACTTCTCAAACAAAAAAAAAATGGAAACCAGACAATGGAAGGATATCATTAAAGAGCTAAAAGAAAATTACTGCCAATTTATATTTATATGTTCACAGACAATATTTTTCAACAATGAAGGTGAAATAAAGACATTCTCAGGTTTAAAAAAATTGATCACTAAAGGACTCATGAGAAGAAATACTAAAAGTTGTTTTTCAGGCAAAATAAAACTTTATCTTCCTACAAAGTAGGAAGACAAAAAGTGCAAAGGAAAGAGTAAATATGCAGGCAAATCTAAACAATATTGACTATACAAAATAATAAGAGTGTCTTGAAACTCTGAAACATGTAGAGAATTAGGTTGAAAATAGAGAATTGAAATATGTTACAGCAAAGGAATATAAATTGAGATGAGGGCAAATGGATTTAATGCTTTAAGTCCTGTGACTTGTCTGGGAATAGAGTAAAAGGATCACTTAATAGTAGACTTTGAAAAATCAAGGATATATGCTGTAATTTCTAAGGTAACCACTAAAATGATAGTAAATTAATGCAACTATCCAGCTTATATAGAAAGGAAAAATAATACAAAAATTCACCAAATCCAAAAGAAGACAAGAGAGGAAAGAAAATGGAGTATAGAGCAGGCGAGTTAAATAGGAAAAACAGAGCAAGATAAAATATTTAATCTTAAATATATTAGAGATTACATGAAATAAAACAGACTAAATGCTTCAATTCAAACATAAAGATTGCAAGATTGGACCTAAAACTTGAACATACAGAAAATGTGAAAGTGTAAGGATGAAAAATGTATACCATAAAAACAGTAATCAAAAAAAAGCTGATAAGGTATATTAACATCAAATAAAATGAACCTTTAGTCAAAAGGCATTATCAGAGATGAAAAAA